ACTTTTCTGCCAAAATGTTTGTGCACAGTCTTTGATTTTTAATCTGCAGAATGGCAGCAGGAAAATGGATTTGTCAGAGCTGGCAGAAAACACTTGAGAATGGAGATGCCTGTACTGGGTTGCTACAGAATAGTGACCTGTTTTCATTTCTGTTGAGTTTGAATAGAATTTTCTATTACCAAAGCTTGTATTTGCCTAAAGAGGTATGAAACAAGTGTCTTACTAAAGTGGGGGGGTTTTGAGATCAAAGGTTTAAGCATGAGAACATTAATGGTCAGGTAAGCATAGTGATTTTATTCTCCAGCAAATTATACAGCCATTCATTTCATTATTGTCTTGAAATGGCAAATTCAGTAATGTGCTGTCCTTCTGTAATAGCAAAATTTTAAAAAGTGTATTTGTGGTGTAAGAAAAAAAATACCTAGTGTCTCTCTCCCCTCTCCCTCCTTTTTTGCAGAAGTACAGGGCAAACCATAAAAATGCAGACAGAAAATTTGCATGTTGTTTATTATGTCAACAAGGACTTTAGAAATGAATATAAAGGAGTGTCATTGCAGAAAGTGGAAAAGAGTGTGGAAGAAGATTATGTGTCCAACATTCGTAATAACTGTTGGAAGGAGAGGCAACAAAGTAAGTTTGGTAATATGTGTAATTTCATGCAAGCATGCATTACTATGAAAAAAGATTGCCTCAGGCAAGAATGAAGTGCTTGTACTACTGAAATACCTGAATGAAAAAGCAAGTGTAAGGTACCGTACTGTTTCTGACTTCTAAAAGTGTCTCCAGTGTCACTTAATTTCTGTGTTTTACTCAGTGACCTAACAACCATCTGCAAATCATCAACAATTTTAACCTACTACTCTATTATCTGTTACCATTTCTCAGAAAATTAAAGACTACAGTACAGTGAATTGATAATGAAAAAGAAACTGCTCTAAATTAAGGATGAAAGCTAAAAATTCTAATAATCTCTTCTACATTATTTTATCATGGCAATATCTAATTTCCCTACGTGCTTTTATAGAAATAAATAAATAAAACAAAAGCTTACATACGTGTTTCCAGAGAAGGAAAAAAATAATCTGCCTAAGACCACAGTACATACAAACACTGCTTTTCCAGGTAACTAAGGACATGCAGCATGTCCTGTAAAACATCATAAGCTGTAAATCAGTGCTTAATCTTTTGCCAGTGCTGAATAATTTTTCTCCCTGGACTTGGTACCTTTGCTATACCAGACCTTAAAAACAGGGGTTTTTTTTTTAGCTTATCATCTATTTTTCCAATCTAATTTACTATTATGCAAGAAGCTATTTTATTTCAGAAGCCTGGAATTCAGCGTTAAAGCATAAAAATACTAAATAGCATCAGCCATCTCCAAATCAGCATCAAGTTTAACCTGTTACTCTATTGTCTGTGACCATTTCGTGAGCCTTTCATGCTCTGCGAGAACAGCACTGCTAAAATGACATCAGTGTTGAACCCAGATGGTTTCAACTTTTCAGCTAGCAAACCTCAGTAATAACTTACTGGATAAATAATTCATTCATGATCTGTCAGTAAACTGTCCAGAAGCAAATAGAATGTTCTTTGGGTGAAACTGTGTTCCTGCACAACTTTACTCTCGGCAGTCCAGTGATGCCAAGCCTTTCAGCTGAGATGGCCCCTTAGTTTCTCCCAGTTGTAAAAGACAGCCCAGCATCACAGCTGGTCAGACTCCTGAACAGGACTGCATGGATTCATTACAGTTGGCCTGTATGAATACAAATACAAACGACACTGCCCGTGCATAGCAGGCCCAGTGCTTCCTGGGCCTTACTCATGAGCACACATTGCTTATGCACACGTAAGTCTCTACAGTTTTACAGATTGCCCACAGGTCTTTCCTGCGGGCACAGAAAACTGTGCTGATGAGTCACATGTATGCAAGAGAAACACCAGTGCTTTGGGGGGAAACTTTCAGATTACTGATCAGACTACTAGATTTGATCAGAATAATTTTTTCCAGGTTTTTCAAATGCAGGAAATCACCAGAGAACTTCTGGATATAATTCATAAGCAAATATTAAAAACTCTTGCACTTTTCCAAGCAGATTGTCCTTTGATCATCTTGAAATGTTTGAATATGTTTACTCTTCATGAAAGGAATACCCCATTTTTCATCTACAAGTGGTTGCTAGATGAATGATTGGTAATCTTATAATAAAATATAAAATTTACAAAAATGAGAGGTAGTTGTTAACAAAAAATTAAAGACGAGGTATAATCCAGCACAATAAAAAGAAGACATATTATCTCTACATTTTTTCAATGAAGTGCAGATCTGGAAGGATAGTTTGCTTTTATTGACCTAGTCATTACACTTACGATTTACTGGCATGCTATATTTGTGCCTCCTGTCCTATATTTACTGTCTAAATATCTCTGAAAAGGTGTAGTTGATACACATTTTCCACCTGGGGAGGGAAAGAGGAGAAAGAATGCCTTTTCCATTTTTTCAGCATTTATTCTGGACATGCTAACTTTTTTAAGCATGAACAGAGTTCTGGACAATGCAAAGGGGCCCATGCTTCTGTGGGTACATACTTACTGGGAAAAATGTGATGACTACAGAATCATTTGACCCTAGTAGAAAAATAACCTGAAGGTGGTGACGGTCGTGTTGCTTGCTGTTTGCAATTTATCAGGTTGTGAAAACTACCCAAATTGATTTTGAGTAAGCGGCCCCTAATAGAATTTCTCTATTTACAGAAACAGCTGATTTTGTGGTTTTGCAGATTTAAAATACCTGCTGTGTTGGATCTCCTTGTCGGTTAAAATCTCCAGCATTGATTGACGTTTAAGAATGCCTTGCTAATCCATTTTGAGTTGAGGGGATGAAAAAGATTTTATACAATTAAAATGCTCAGCAATGTCAAGCCATTGAACACCAGTATAATGCAGAGAGCTCTTTTATTAATACCTCTGAACACTGGTAGTCTGAAGCAGCATCAGTTGAAGTAATGGGTTTACCATTCAGAATGGATTTTTGGGCACAGACAAGACACTAGCGCTGTCAGTAATATGTATGATCACTGAGTGTGGCCAATATTTGTATTATTTGATGAGGTCCAACAGAAGTACTACAGGTTTTTCATTTGTTTGCTTTAATCAGGTATTGCTGTATGAAATACAAGGGTGCTGGAAGGCTGTTACCACTTTCCCTGCTCAAAAAGATTAAATGCTTGTGAAGATCCAGCAAAGGGAAGCTGTAGCAGTGCTCTTTAGGTGGTATTGGTGGGTAGTTAAAAGGGGTGAGGATTAAACCTGAGGTGTTTTGTACAGCTCTGAGAAGGAAGGTATCATGTGCACAGTGTTCGGTTTTTAACCTGAAAAATCTTCTCTCTTTTTTCCTTAAAGAAACAGACTTACTTTATGTAGCAAAAGTATATCGAGATGACCGTCTCCGAAAGAAAGCCAACTCCATGCCCATGGACAACTGCAAAGAACTAGAACGGCTGACCAGCCTCTATCGAGGAGGATGAACTACAATGTAACTCACATACATCTTTACGTATGCCGTTATCTCTCTTGTAAATTAAGAAGAGATTTAGTTTCACCGTGAATGCTGGAAAAGAGGGGTGGATGTAAAACTCTACTGTGTAGCTGTTTCCAGAAACCTTATGCTGAAATATCATTTAATGGCTTCTTTACCTACTGTGAAATATAGGTAACTTTAATTGTCTAGATTTTACTTCAGAGCTTCTGTGAATTCTTTCAGCAGAGAGAATAACTCAGAAAGGATCCTATACTTGTAGAGACTTAGTCATAGTGGTTCTCCTCTAACATATTTGCCATGTAAATATCTGTGGAAAGAACACTTTGTGTATATACGAGTTAAATTACTTTCTATTTAAAATCTCAGAAATTTAGTTCCATACAACATTTTGTCTCACTGATGGAATAAATAGTATGATTACATCACTCCTATTCAGATGTCAAGTGTGTGGAGTTAAAACAAGAATTTTTAATACTTTATCTCTCACTCTATGTAAAATCTTCTAGGTTTACCGCTTAGAGGAACTTGGTATTTTTAAATATAATGGCATATATTCCTAAATATCTGTTGGGGTATATTGATCTTGTGTAGAGTAGCAGTTAGCTGTTGTAGATTTTTATTGTTTCTGAGCAATGCTGAGAAAACTTAAGAACTACACTGATTTCTTTTCAAAGTAAAATTTGCAAATGCTGTACAGACATTATTAGCATTGCTTTTAGTACCTGCAACAGTTTACAGCAACTCTACCATTTGGTATTCCAGTAGTAGTAAGTCCATATGTATGGTTAACATGCATTCATAGCTTCCGTAATTTTCACTCCAAAGGTAGAGGAAAACATGCAATAGTAAAATTTTAAAGCTAAAGAAAAAACAAAAAAAAAGGCAACCTAATTTTTTTTTTCCTGGCAGGCTTCCATTTTCTTGTTGTTTTTTTTTTATTCCACACTAGGTCCCAACACTGATTCCTCAAGGGGCACCGCAAGTGGAACAGGGAAATATTGCTAAGGACAAGCTGTGTCCTTTTGCCAACTATTTAAATGCTTTCTTTGCTAGTTTGCAGTCTGTTCTGTGGCCAGAGCCGTTATCACGTGTCTCGGGGCAGAAGGGGTAGGGCATGCATTTTTCTGGACCAGAAAATGTCACTGGACTGTACTTCCTAGAAATGAGCAAACGTACTGTTCAGCTCCTACATACGAGGTCATGTAACGCAGTGACCTGGATGTGGAAACCATATGTAGCCACACCTGCTGATGCAAAAAGGTGTTTTGAAGCAGCTAAGTACAGTGTACTTAAAGTTTACCAAAAGCGGGTTGAAAATGTTTTTAGGCTCTATAGCTGATGTTTTTACATTTTAACAGTGCTATGCAGAAGAATGTTTCTTGTATTTGAGTGGTGGCTTGTAATAAGGGCAGTGTTTTTTGTTTGAGAAAACGTCTGTCTTTGAACAATGCTGTCACTTTACGTGGAGGCAAATTCTCCTCCTAAATTCAAAGCTTAAATACTTGACAGACTTCATTGTGATTCCTTCTGATCTAGAGCAGGATTTGACTTCAGAGGTACACTAAATGCTAATGCCCTAAGTGACCCAGAAATCATTTTGCATATATACCTTTTCTAAACTGTCCCACTAGAAATGTCTGTTGAATTGCTGTAACGTGAGAGAGACTAGCTGCAGGCTTTTAATTGAGCAGCTAAACCAGTATTCAAGGTGGACATCAAAGCCTGAGGCACAAAGCGGAACTAAAAGCTGCTGAAACAAACAAAAAAAGGTTGCTGTACTGGATGTCCTTACTAAGATTATAGGAAAAGTGTGCAGAAGTAATGGAAAGGCACACTCATGTTTGAGGTTTGCAATAGAAATTTATGGAGCAAACGTGATTTCCCTGGATTTTGTAACTGTCCAGAATGTATTGTAATTATACTAATGAAAACAAACTATCAAAGTACATACTGGTACTCCTGTGTCTTCTTAATAGAAGAAAATTGTTCCAAAGGCTTTAACAGGTACTCAGGCCTTCTCATTCGCAAATGAGCCTGAGCTTGCAGGTGATCTTTAAGTTGAGAGTAAAAAGGATATATAATGCATTTGTCAAATAGGGGAGCAGTGAAGTCAGTGTGAAGAGATGGTCTTAGCAAAGCTGCTTATAATAATCAGATGGGTTATGTCTGCCCTGAAGTTACTTCTGAAGCTGAGAAGCAGGTAAATGGATGGCTGTTGAGCTGTGTCAGGTTGGTCGGATTGCTATCAGTACCTCAGCAAACTGGAATAATGCAGTGGCTGTGTCCCGTGGCAACACGGACGTCCCAGTTGTTTAAAGTGAGACATAGGCTGCTGCTTTTGATTGGATTATCTATTGCAACTGCCATTTTTGAAGAAGGAAACAATTAATAGCTTTATACTGATGGAAAAATGCTACTTAGCTTTTAACAGATTAAATAGTTGCATACTTTGAAATATGCAGTAATATACAGAAGGATGCTATTATTTCCTAGAGCATAAAGATTAACCTGCTCTAAATATGGCCTGCAAACATTCTTCTAATATTCTAAGTGGGTGTTTCTCTCCTCATGATTGTTACTTTTTTCCTACATCCGAAGTTTTTTTTTCCTCAGAAATGTCATTATCTTCCCTGGTTTTGTTGAAGGAATCTGCTGGAAGGCTCAGAATGAATTTTCTTATGAGCAAGTTGCTAATTGAAAACAGTAGAGTACTTGAATCTTTTCAGATGACCTTTCTTCAGAAGGTGAAGTTCTCATTAAAATAAGATACTGGAAAGAAAAGAGAAAAACAAAACTTGTTTTGAACAGCTTGACTAAAAATCCCTTAACTTTTCTAGCTACCTAGAATTATCTCCTTACTATTTATATTTGGTCATTACCTGTATTTAATCTAGAATTAAAGATAGCACAAGCATGGGTTCTTGATTTCTCCTTTAAAAGGGCAAGCAGCAAAGTCCTGCAAAAAGTGAAAAATCTTGGCATGACTCTTTGACATAGCATAATAAAAAATGGAGATGATTTGCATCTGCTGAAATATAACATCAGTATGTGTTCTATTTATGGAGCATCCTGAGTCACAGGTGACTTTGGTATTCACATCTGATTAACATTTCCTTACAGGTTCTCTAACAGTTTAGGTAAAACAACATTAAATTTCAATTTTTTACTTTTTTTTTAAACAGTCTTGATTCTTTTACAAGTTTCCAAGAAAATGTAGAACATTATAGTCACTAAAATCTAACATGCATTTAAATAGGCAGCAGAGTCAACTTTAAATGATACACATTTGTAATATAATTTTGTAGTGAATGCTGTAAAAAGATTAAAATGAGAGGTCATGAATATGTTTTTTAAAGTTGGTTGTTCCATAAATTTAATTCATCCCCTAAACAGTTGTTATTCTTTCATCTTGTAGATCTGTCGAAGAGAGCAGAAGGAAAATGTAATAGTAAGAGCAAACATTTTGTTTACAAAAAAAAAAAAAAAAATAATATCTGTTAATGTACAAATTCCTGAAGCTGTAAGTTTAAAAAAAGTGCTAGCTTCCCAGTTGCCTAAATCAGATTAATAGAGGGCAGTCAGTTTTACCAGAGGAAGCTTAGTCACGAGGATTCGTGGTGAGTGGCAGTCAGGAGCCCTGGTGCAGTGTCCCCCACCTCCTAACAATTCACTGTAACCTTGCAAGCGCCGCTGAGCTCTGTGTGTTGCTTCCCCCATGCTCCTTTGTAAACCACGGGGTGGAGCCTGGAGAAAAGGTAACAGATGTAAAATTTTGTGCCATATTTGGCATATGATCAAGATACTTCTGGGAGCGAACGGTACAAATGTAATAAATGCAGGAAAGAAGTATGCTATTATAAACTATCCTCCCCATACTTCTCCGGCATAACTGTGAGACTTCTCAGTCTGGCAGGAACTAGGTCCGATTGTCAGATTTCTCTGGATTTTTAGAAATAATATTAAAATCCAGTGTTTACTTGCGATGTTGTCCTTCACGTAGAATATACTGTTCCCATCAGTACTGGCTTGCTCTGTGTAAAGAAAGGCTGTCACTGGAACAGGAGACAAAACTGCCGTTAATGTAAGTAATACAGGAGCCAGTTCATAGATGCATCTGCGTAGCTTTGTCATACCCAGTGTGACAGGGAAACAAGTAAAACTGATCATTGAGTGCCATGCCTACAAATCGTAAAAAGCCAGTTGTATTTTTAAACATTTTTAGCGTGTGGTATTTTAATGATTGAGTGGGCCATGATTGTCTCCGGTAGCGTTTTCAAACTACTACCAGAAGCTCACACATGAGAATTTTATGGGCACCTCTTTAGATAGCTCTCTAGTATGACCAAGTGCTTGTCAAATTGCCATGTTGGCATGGCTGGGATTGAGGAGGTATGGATTCTTAATAAAATAAATTTGCCCTTTTGGATGAGCTTTTCCTCTGTTAATTGCAAAAAAAAAAAAAAAAAAAAAAAAAAAAAAAAAAAAAGTGACTTATCTCTGGCTGTTTCAAGCTTTTTTAATACGTCACCAGATTTATACGTTCAGGAACATTAGCAGTATATGGGTGAGCATCTTTTCTTACTGTATTTTAAGCTTCAGTTTTGGCATCTGAGCAAAATCTTCAGGTATCAACAGTGCTCGGCACGTAGTGGCTCTTTTTTTTTAGAGAAAAAAGCACTGTTACAGGCTGAGGAGGTGGTCGGGGTTTGGGGTTGTGGGTTTTTTGGTTTTGTTTTGTTTTGTTTGTTTTGGTTTTTGTTTGTTTGTTTGTTTTTTTAGATCTACCAGTAGGGTCCTAGATTCCGATACAAGACTTTAAAAACCGATAGCACAGTTCCCAGCCTTATGCTGTGGGCATCTACTGGATGAACCTGTTTTATTTCTTCGCCTCAGCTGTGAAATTGCTGGCCTGCGGGTCTGTGCTTCGACTGGCTAGATCCAGGGGGCTGGGAAATGAGCACCACCGGCGGAGTAAACTCGGTGTAACCGCCCTCCGCAGAGGGGGCGCTTCTTTCCCGTTGCCGCTGCTCCTTTAACTGGACTCCCCGCCCCGGCGGCGGGGAACCGCTTCCGGGTTGTGGAGGGCGGTGCGCCGTCATGTGACAGAGGCTTAAAGGGGAAGCGGCGGCCGCGGCAGAACTGCGCGGGTGGGCGCCGGCTGCGCGGACAGGTAGGGCGGGGCGGGCGGCACACACACCCCTTCTCCCCCTCCCCGCTGCCGCGGTGGTTTCGCCCCGGCCGTGCTCCCTTCCCGGGGCGGCCTCTACCATGGGAGCGGGGCGGGGGGGCGGGGAATGGGCCTCGGCGGCCGGGGAGGGAGCGCCCACGCCCGCCGCTTCTTTCGTTGGAGGTGGGGACCGCTCCTGCCGCGTCGCGGGTGACCGGGCGCCCTCTCGTCTCGCAGAGGCGGCGGCAGCGCTGGGAGGCCCAGAGCCATGGCCGACGTGAGTGTGGCTCCGCGGGACGGTTGGGCGGCGGCTCGGCCTGCGCCGCGGCGGGGTGTGTGTGTGGGGGGGGGGGCGGGTAGGGGGGAAGCGGCGGCGGGTGAGGGGGGGTCGGGGCGCAGGGAGCTCCCCCCGCCCGCCTTCTGTGGAAATAAAGTAACGTGCCGCCCGTCTCTGCCCCCCAGGACCTGAAGAGGTTTCTGTACAAGAAGCTGCCGAGGTAATTGGCGCGGCGGGCCCGGCCCGGCCCTGCGGCGGCCGCGGGCTGTGGGCACGGCCCCCCCCCCGCCGGAGCGGGGCCCGGGCGGCGGGGAAGGCGCTCGCAGGTCGCGGAGGCGATTGCCCGAACCCTCCTGACCGCGGGGAGCTGCGCTCGGCAGCCCCTCCGCTGCCGGGGGAGCCGGCCGAGCCGGTACGCTCGCTCTGTCGGTTACATGAGCTGGGAAACACCTCGCGGTGAAGACGGCTTAACCTTCCGCTCGCTCGTTTGAAAAGAAGCGAAGGGTGCGCGTCGTGTCGTGGGGGAAAGGGAAAAAAAAAAAAAAAAAAAAAAAAAAAAAAAGCAAAAGCGTAAAAAGCACTCCGCGAGACTCGGTTGCCTAATCCTTGATAATTCCCTTTTCGGTATTTGCTGGTTACTAGCAGCCTTAAACAGCCGCAGTCTGAGACAGCGTGCAAATGCAGCCAAGCTGGCCCTCGTTGAGCGAGGGCAATGCACACAGGCTCTTGCTTGACTAATGAAATTTAATTAGTAGCACTGGTCCTCTTACTGAAGCGAAAAGTTTCGTGCAATTTTCAGTAGTTTCTTTTTGTATGTCTCTTTTTACTGCTCCAAGAGACCGTCTGTACTAAACAGAACAAAACCCTTTCTTTGAAATACCAAATTAGTAAAGGCATCAGGTTTTTTTTCCCTATTTTCCTCATTCCTGGACATTTGTTCAGGGAAGAAGATCCTTGCTGCTAGTTACTCTCTTTTTAACATGGTGTCTCTTCTTCGTTTTTTTTGCAGCGTTGAAGGTCTTCATGCCATTGTAGTCTCAGATAGAGATGGTGTGCCTGTCATCAAAGGTAACTTCAGCTTCTCCTTGTGCCCTGCAACCGAATTGCCGATTGAACAGCAGGGGGTGGAAGAGTACAGCAGAACCTCCTCTGGTTGTGTCCAATACCTGAATATCCAGAACTGGAGAATTAAATTAGACATTTACTTCAAGTTCAGTAGTCGATTAAGTACCTCTTTAAATTAGTCCTTTTTTTTGTCCGTGTCCTCAATAGTTGTAGGGCACATGAACTTTACTCAGTGAAAAGGGTTGGAGTGATGCAAGATTCTTGTATCTTCAAGTCATTCACAGCCTGATGCAAAGTACTAGGAAGAGCTTATCAGTATTTTGTTAACTTGGCTGGTCTGTGCTCAGAAGCAGTTGCATCCAACTTTAACACACGTTATCTAATTTAGTTTGCTTTTTGGTACTGTAGTTTCTAGCATATCTCTGCAGTCCTTGTTTAAGATGTTGCAGAAACATCTTCACCTGTTTTCATTCAGGTGGCTCTGTGCTAGTAGTCAATTCCAAGGCTGGAATGGGTGCAGACAGCGAGGGACACACAGCCAGAGTGGTATCAGCACAGGCTGTGCATCGTAAAGCAAAAGGCTGTTCCTTAGGTGTGCTGGGAAGGACACTGGTGTAATGAGCATTGATCACGTGCAGAGTATTAATTGATGTACTGCCCAAGAAGGTTGTCCTGTACTTGTTGCAGAAGCGTGTAAGATGGGTTATGTGTTCCCCAACAGCAGATCTGACCTTGGTACAGCACTAAGCTGGATAAGGAGTTGTGATGCAGTCATAGATACCATGTAAAAATAAGAATTTTCTTGTTTTGTTTCAGTTGCCAATGATAATGCTCCAGAACACGCACTGCGACCTGGCTTTCTGTCTACCTTTGCCCTTGCCACAGATCAGGGCAGTAAACTAGGACTTTCTAAAAACAAAAGTATCATCTGCTATTACAATACATACCAGGTGAGTAACCTCAGTGTGGCCTGTTCTCGATGACCTAGGCTGTTCCTCAGCTACATTTCCACTTGGCTACTATTGAAATATTTGTGTTTTATTTCTCACACTGCTTAAATGGCTAAGCTAAACTTTTGCGCTCTTTCTCAAGCTTCTCTCATATTTCTCAAAACTGAGATTTACTAGTTGAAAATGGTGAATTTTTCTGAACAAGTAGTAATCAGAAATTTGCAGCAGGTGCTGCTCATATGGCCTTCAGAATCTGTTACAAAGGGTTTATGTTCTCTTTTACAAACAGTACTTGTTTATAATTAGCGACACCTAAAGTTAAATAAGCACATGCAGCCTACTTCAGAATTGATCTTGCTGCCAGTACTACTTGGAGGTAAGAAGGCTTTGAAATACCACTCACGTTTTTTTACAAAGTGGTGGTTTGTGTCCTGAAATCCATCACCCACTAAGTTTCTGCTCCTTCTCAAGTTCTAGCAGTCTTGAGAGTTTTTTATTATGACTGCAGTAAACTGGCCAGCTGTTCCGCCTGCAGTATCTGGCTTTGTTTGGAAAATAAACGGGTGAATGAGTTAGTTTACACGCACAGAATACATTGATTCTCACGATGCTACTAGCTTAGTGTTGCATTCAAGGTTCCCGTTGCCTACCAATGGAAGAAGAGGTACTGCTGTACATGGAATAGGACTTTAAAACAATAAGCCTGGCTCTGGCTGCCCTCCTGTTACCTGTGGAGAGTGTGGTCTCCACAGTGTACTGTGTGGCATTTGCAGCAGAGTTAGATTTCTGGTGGCTAACGCTGCAGGGCACGGGAGGGAGGGAGGGAAAGGCCCAGGCTTCCACATGCAGCTCCCTCTACTGTGGTGTAAGTTCTGTTGGTGTTTTTTAACCCTGAATCTTACAAAGTAGGTACACTGAAAAGTCAGTTCTGTGGCTCTTGCTCCTGTCTGTCCTTTAAACTGAGGAGGCTGCTTGTTTCCGAAAGAGCTCTGCTACATGAATTCTGACATCCCACATGGTTTAACTGCTGGCTGAACGCTGTTCTCTCTCCTTGCAGGTGGTGCAGTTCAATCGCTTACCTTTGGTAGTAAGTTTCATTGCTAGCAGCAATGCCAATACTGGTATGTCTTCACATGAATTTTAGGTGTTGCAGTATTTTAAGGCTCAGGTGTTTAAGTAATTGCAAATAAATTATTTGAATTTTCTCCAAGGTATATTAACTTTGCTCCTGTCAGTACATTGTGAAGGGGAGAAGGAAAAGGTGTGAGTAAAAACTAACAGATTTTAGGTGACTTGCTGAAGTTGTTGTTCTGTTAGAAGCACGTTTCTCCTGTGATTAGCTCTACCTTTGTTATGTGAGAGCGTTCACTGCGCCGGCAACGACTGTACCGTACAAACCAGTTGTTCGGTCTCTGTCAGTTCCAAGTTATGTTCTGCAGTACCATGTGCAGGCTTCGTCTTCTCAGTTCTGTGGGGTGGGGGAAATCCTTCAGCGAGGCGCCTGGCCTCGCTCGTGAAGGCGTTGGCTAATGCGTGCGAGCAAAAGGGGTTGGTTACCGCAGAGCTGCCTGGGTCTCGGTGGCTGTGGGGCAGCAGCAAGGAGAGCAGCAGCGCGGGGGAGAGCTGCGCCGCAGGGCTGTGGTCCTCTTGGTGCTGGGGGCTGCCGGCCCCCTGCCTGGGGCGGGGGGGCTGCCCACCGTTCTCCTGGGGAGCCAGCAGCTCACGTGGAACGTTTGGTGTTTTGGGAAACACTGCCTGCGACTTGGGAGGGGAGGGAGCTGCGGGGTTCGGGGAGAGTCTTCTCGGTTACGTCATTCGATGGGATGTTCTGTCTCTTCTCTCTTTCCAGGGCTGATCGTAAGTTTAGAGAAGGAGCTGACGCCCCTGTTTGAAGAACTGAGGCAGGTTGTTGAAGTGTCTTAACCTGATGGTATAGCCAGACTGCAGCATCCCTCTGCAGCCCAGTGGACAGAAAGATTCAATAATCCTCAGTCAAATAACACGTCTCGGAAGAAATGCCACAGCTCCTTAGCATACTAAGTAAGAGTATATTGTACATAGTACTGAATCCGAAACGATCTACTAGTGTGTTGTCGGTGGGTGTTACTTTAGGCCATGCTTCTTGTATTGTGCAGTACTGGAGAGACCACCAACGTAGCTCCCGTGGAGTTCAGCTCAGCCCAGTCGGCATCGCGCTGCTGGCTCAGGCAAGCAACCCCCAGATCTCTCGCTTCACAGGGCACCGCGGCGGGGCCCGTCCTCGGGCCAGCTGCCGCCGCGTGTCGGGAGGCGGGGCGGCTGTGCGGCGTTAGCAAAGGGGCGGTTGAAAGAGTGTTGGGAGAGCGAGTTGGCTAGCGGCGGTGTGTCAGTACAATCAGTAAATATCCCAGCCTTCTTACGTGGGTGATGCTTGGCGAGGGAATGCTGCTCAGCTGGGTGCTTGCTGCATCCCACTTCCGCTAAGAAGAAAGCTGTTTCTATGAAAGCTGTTGCTTTAGGGGTTTTCCTGATGCCCAGATAAAAGCACCTGAACGATGTCTCACTTCTTCATGGGGTTTTTGTGTAACGTGGTTGCGAAGATCTTATGTCTCATAGTCTTGGGGTGGGTTCATCACTCGTGTGACACTCTCAGCTCATTTACCCTTTGGTTTTCCTAAGCAAATTATAAATAAAATGCAGTATTTTTAAATGACAGAGCCCAGTCCACTCTTCTGTTGCACCACAACACTCCACAGCACGTCAGCTTTTCTGTGAACAGGTCTCTTCATTGTTTGTAAATGGACAAAATCCAGGCGGTTACAGGCTGAAGGCTAACCAGCGTGTCCCGGGGGGGTGACAAGGGTACCGGGTCCCACGCCAAGGCAGAGCTGCAGGAGTTAGTGCTGACTGGCCTGTTGCTGGGGCTCAATCCCTTGCTCTTCGCCCCCCACCTTGCTCCCTCCCGTGTCCCCCTTGTGATGACTGCAGTGGAGACTCGTGGCACTAAAACCACATCCCCCTGCTCTAAGGGAGAGCTCCTGGCTGGGCTCTGCCTCAGGCTGGGGAAGGGAGTGCCGTTCCCCTCCGTTTATACCTCGCCTGCTTTCAGCATCAGACGGGATTGGGGGGCAACAGTGCTGGGAATGAGGACTGGAAATTCTAGGCTCGAAAGCTCTCGTGGAGGTGAAGAGTTGCCAGTCAACCCTTTCCCATTTACACTGAGCTCCTGGCACGAGCGCTCTGTTGCTGGTCACTGTGGAAGCAGCTGGAATCTGAGCCCCAGGCTGTTTCTGGCAAAAAGCGTTTGTGTGCCATCCCCGGCCCGCTCTTGCTGTTCACTTCTCTTCAACTCGCCCGTGACTGCTTCCTGGGCCAGCCAAGTGCCACTTCTTTTCTTGGCTTCGGTTCACGTCACCACGTGCTGAACTGGCTCCCAACATTTTGTACCAGAGCCTGTTCATGTGAAAAAGGGAAGGCTGCTTTTGTGGTTATGCCTCAGGCTTCGTTTCCAAGCCATTTTCACAGAAGGGCGATGCTGCTGGAGAGTACTGATACTCGCTTCCCCTTACGCTGCCCCTATCTCACACAGACTCATCAAAGCTTTGTAACTACATGGGAGATGCCAGTTTGTTAAACGACTTCTGTAAGGGAAAAAAGGAGGACAAAGCTTTAACAACACAGTATAGGAATACAGACCTTTGGTAGTTTTATAGTGACATTTTATTCAGAAAACCATCTGTATAAAAATACTTACAAATATATTTAATTTCTAAATTGAAGTAAAATACCATTCCTATGTCCAAATCTACATTTTCTTCTTTGACTATGTTTTTCCCTGCCTCTTCTTCAGTCTTCTCACAGTAAAGGCATCTATGGAACACTGATCTGCTGTGTGAGCAATACTCCGTGCCACAGCATTCGCACAGCGGGAGAGGTTTGCGTACGTTGTTTCAGCAGAAGCTTGACTGTTATGCAAGGAGATGGGGTTCCCCCCTCTCCTTCCCCACCCCTCCAGGAGGAACAGGATTGCTGGGGGCTCTTGCAGCTGGGCCAGCCGCGATGTCGGGCCAAGCTGGTCTTGGGGCGTTCCAGTGTGTCAACTTTACTTCCAAAACGTAACATCCCATTGGACTACAGCACCAAAGTACTCGGCCTCCACTTCTCAGCTCTGTAGCGAGCCACAGCACTGTTAAATGCGTACAGCTCTTCCAAAATACAGATGGAAATCTGCATTGGGTTGTGTAGAAGATGTATTCTTTTAAATCTCTGTTTTCAGTGTACGTAGTGCTTCTTGTTTGATACAAAGCAAGCAGTGCTTAATTCTAAACACGGTTCTGGACAAAACCTCCTTTTAAGTTCTCTACACGAGGAAAAAATACAAAACCCAGCCCGTTTTCAAGGGAGACTGTAAGGGGCCCAACTCACAATGCTGCCAACAACGCTGGTGGCTGCCCCAGGCAAAGCTTTCTGCAGAGCCCTGTCCCCCCCGCAGGCTCCCAGGGCAGCTCTGTCGTTTGTGTGCCAGGAACCAGCTGCCTCTTTCTGGCAGTCCTGGTTTGTAAACAAGCGTGCTCGCGTGCTGCTGCTCACCGGTACCTATGCACGCTGCCTGAAACAAACGTTCACTTGTAGCCATCGCTGCGGTAGAAATCTAAACCGTACAAAACCAGCTGACCAGATCTAAGTGTTCCTCATCCATCACCTTGAAAAGGGCCTCGAAATATTCTCTGGATTGTAATATAGATACTATTTACAAGAATGTAATTACCTCTCTCGTTTTTCTTTTGGTTTGGAGCCTAAACAGGTAACACAGTATTTAATGTTTCCAAAAAGGACTGGGTTTAAATAACAAGGTGAAGGTTACAGAATGTGCTGCTAAAGGTTAGTTGTGATGGAGCTTGCAATAAATTACCACGAGTGCTCTGAATAACCACAAAAGTTTTCAACAGTGACTACTTCTGTGATTAGTGAACGGGTGTTTGAATGAAGTGCGTTCCGGGCACGCACCACCCCTATCAAACCAGCACTTTGACTTTGCAACCATCTCCCTCCAGGCGTGACTCAACAGCCCGGGAGCTCTCAGCTGTGCGAATCCTTTGTGTGCAGAGCTGGAAGCAAGCGTCCATGTGGGGTACACACACGTGAACCCGTCCTGGGTAAGCGATGCCTTCCCCCCGGCGAAGAGGCGACTCCTGCCGAGGGAGCAGAAGCAGCGCAGGTGCAGCTAGGAACTGAGGGTGGAGTGACGCTGCTCCAGCTGCTTCCGTATTTGCGACTGGAACAGAAAGACAATCCATTACTGTTTGCCTGCAAGCGTGTGGATGTGGGTGAGTACGACCGACCCAAACACTGATATTTTTAAGGAAGCAACGCTTCGAAGATTTCACGTTGTCTTCTCACTGCTTCCTTCATGACCCAACATACGCGGTCTGTGCCCATGCTCCATACTGTTTACCATCTACACGATGACATCCTTAATAATGGAAGGAATTTCCTCTCCCTAACGAGTTTCTGGAAATGCTAAAGTGGTTTTGCAGGTATATACATTATACAAAAACTACGTATTCCAGTCTAGTTGGCCTGGAAGCCAGAACAAGTACTCCCTCCTTGCAGCCACTGGGAACTGCAGCACTCGGGTGCTACACCGCTGGGGGTTTATGACGGTGGTACCAGGGGGACTGCTGCCTGAGGCGTACGGCCACCTAACACCGCACGTCGCCTTACCAGTTTCCATCGCAGTATTTTAATCCACTCGTCAGCTTCTATTCCAGTTTTCGCGCACAGGTAGTACGTCCTTAGTGGGAACACTAAACTGTAAGTAAAGAATTAAAATTATTTCTTAAATTGCTAGAACCACCACTACTTCTTCCTAAAAGTGAAGGCAGCTGGCCTGCACCAACAGTTGTTTAGACAGAGCAGGGCAGGGAGGCCGCGCTCCCCTCCAGTCACCAGGAGGGAGGTTAGCCAGGAACAGTTCACAGTTGATGCCTCCCCAGGCCCTACGGGCAAAAGACCCACGTGTGGGCACAGAAGCCGTTACTGGGTGACCCGCAGCAATGTCTGAACTGGGAACTGAACCGTACCTAAGTTCCACAGGTCTAGGTGATGATTATACACCCTCACAGAATTAGGAAAAGAAATGCCCACTACACATACACCTACACCTTTCCTCCTTGCCGAGAAAAAACCCTTTTGCCAGCAGCAATTCGGCAAAGCCACGCAGGACTGACAGAAGTCGGCTGACAGAAACAGACTTGTGAGTGAGAGGACGAGCAGGGTTGCAACCTGCAAGGGAGTTTTCAGAAGCACCCAGTGGGTGTATTTCAGATTCCCTGGCTATTTTGACCTTCCCAGCAAGGTGGAAAGAACAGCAACTTACCAGAAACAATTGACTCTTTCCTGGGAATAGTCAAACTGCACAGCTGAGCATTCAGTTAAGTCAAGTGCCCGGATTGGTTCTGTGGCCTTGAAAAGAAAATGCTTTTAAAATGGAAACACATGAAACCAGAAGATAAGGCTAGCTCGGTTCATTTCCAGTACACCTAGACCTTTACAGGCACACCAGGTTTTTCCAGGCATAGGTACAATAGTTGTAACACCATAAACCCAAACTAGCAAACATAACGTTAGTGCTAACATGATACGGATTCAGCTAGATATAAAAGAAACAGGTCTAGATCTAGACAAACAACAGAGGAGATCTCTACTGCAGGGAAGTTTGAGCTGGATGCAGACTGCTGAGGGTTGGGGTTGAGGCATTGCAACATGATTGACATGGTAGTAAATCTGCTATCACCTCCAGCTAAGGTTCAGAGAGGCAAGGGGATGGTTACAGATCTTATCAGGCCTAGCCAGCTGCTGGAGATTTAATTTAAGTGCTTTAAAAGGATGAAGCTGGGCAGGGAGAAACGTGGAAGCAAAGCTAGAGTAGTGCTTGCAGCAGAAGCAGCAGTGAGTCTGGCTGTGTGAGCAGCGTGTGCATACCTAGGTTTCTTGGGACAGGCCCAGGAGTGCTCGGGCCCTGCACTCAGGTGCAGGCACAGAGTGACTGTGGCCGCAACCCTCCTCCCTAGATGCGAGAACTCTTTGCTTTGTTACAGCCTCGTGCTGCTGAGCGCCTCAGAAGAGGCAGCTGCAGCAGAACAGTTTGCTCCCTGCCCAAACACCCTCAGCCATTCCTACGGCCCCTCATCAGGTGCAGGGAGGTGTCTGTTGCTTTCCCACCTCTCCTCACATTTTCCTCTGCCTCGCTGGCCGTTAGTTCCACGCTATGCTAAAAGCAAGCCCCTTGTGCTGAGGTGTGCTAGCGAGTGCTGTCCCAGGGCCAGCAGCACGCTGCTCGCCCGTAGGTACCTGCAACCCCACAGCAACAATGGGAATGCCAGGAGACACCAGAGCTGCAGCCTGGGAGGAGGCCGTGTTCCTGACAAAGACACCTTCTTGCCTGGTAAGTCACAAATGCTACTCAAACGTTTGGAGTGCTGCCCTCTGAAATGTTATCCCGGAAACTTAATTCATGTTGGCTTGAACTGAAACAAAAACTGACGGAAAGCTCTGTAAATGTGCAACTGTTTGTAAATGGTAATGTTTGGTGAAAGAAGGCAGCTGTGTCTGCTGTTGTGTTAAAACGTCTTAGATGCTTGAAACAGGACTTGGCAGAGGTGAACAGGTTGGCTGTGTTTATGAAGGAACCTGAACTGGAGGTATTGTAAGGGTGGAGAAACAGCAACTGTAAGGACCCAGTTTTTCCCAGAGGCAGCAGGTTAATCTACATCAGAGTGCTAGGAAGGAGGACGTTTTTAAATGAATGGTTTTCTATGTATACTGTGTGACTATTTGAAATAAAAGGATGAAATCAAGGAACGCAAAATATACTACTAGTATCTGCAGAAATATTTTAACAGCTCCACTGTCTGTTAGGTTGTATGCCAAAGCTACCAATTAAAGCTGATTTGTGCTGGTAGCTTAAAATCCACTGAACAAAGCAACCAAAAAACACACAAAACCCAACTCTATCCAGTAGGTAAGAGAGAGCACAGCAAACGTTTCCCCTCTGTAAAACTTTCTCTTGTTGAAGTCACCAGCAAAACTCTTAACTTTATTTGAAAGGTCTGACCCCTCTGAGAGTATGGGAAGCTTTATCTTGGGAAGCTGTGATACAGATGCAGGAAGCTAGAGGTATGAGGAGGCTGCAGCTGCCTCTGCAGAGGTTTAAAGAGCAGAACTAGTGTTGGCTACTTACTGTCTGGTCTTTGAAATACTTAAGTTCGTTCCTATGCAGTGTAAACCACCTTGTCTTCCAATTCTGAAAGATCAAGAACGGATGGTAATTGTCTTGTGAGAATTTAGTGTAATGCTTCTTAGGAAAGCTGTTGACTAGCTCTGGTTTACAGTCATGCTTTATTGTGGCTCAAAACACAAATTGCTCCTCTTTGCAGGGGGATGCAGGTGGAGCTATTTTGGCTCCACACTGTCTCTAGCTTCTGTGGGTGATTGCAGAGTAGAAGCAAGGAGTAAGAGTTTTCCTTACCTTGACTATTTTGCCTTGTTTTATCAAATATCCTTCTTTTGTGCCAAGCTGTGAAGTAACAAGGAAAGGGATTGGGGTTAGAGGCTGAGCTCTGCTTCTATTTCCCACATCCCCCCGCTTTGCCTACATCCAGAAGATGGAACAGCAGCCTGTTCTTGTGGAAACTTCCCATGGCCACTTGCCCCGTCCTCACTCCTGTGCTCCCCTCGCACGGCTGGATCCGCCACTCGGGTAAACGTGGACCCGCGCTGGCTCTAAAGGTGATCTCTTAGACTGTGCCTCCCTCAGCAAGCTTCTGGCCTACGTCTTCTCAACCAAACGCACCAAAATAGTTTTACTTACAGTTTATTTACTAAAGCTGGATGGCTGCCTCGGTACATGTTGTAACCAGAAAGCACCTGAGGTTTACCTCACAGTGGAATTATCCTCAGAAACTACTCTTGAAATGCAAGTGAGGGGGAAAGTGCTGTTTTAGTTAGGCACTCTCTTCTTTCAAACAGCACGGGCTTGAGAGGAAAAACCTGTTACGTTCAACGTGTTTACTGAGAAACTGGTTTTTGAACTGTTTCTCTGATGCCATGAGTGACACTGGGACCTTATAGCTTCTCAGATACTGAAATTCTGTGTAAGGACCTAGTTGTGAGACTGCAGATCTCAGAAAACCAAACTCTTGCTAAGTTCATTACTACTTGCTCTTGAAAAACTATTGCCTTTGTATTGGTTGTATGTGGAAGGAAAGTTTCTTTGCAGGTTAAAGTGGAACTCGGCCATGAAGGGTTGGTTGTGGGACACATCAGAAGTGGTTATCAACTTCATTAATGTGTATTAATGTAATCCTTTCCCTTTTTCTCAAAAAAAAGAGTATGTAATTAAAATACTTTCCTCTCTGTTCAGAGCAATACTGGTCTGGAAAAACCACCTGTCTCACTTAGATATGAGTTACTAGGGATTTAAAGTCTCTAATTACTGTCCAAGTGAGTCACAGATGTCAGAGCAGGTGGCCCAAATGGATATGAAGATGTTCTCGTTTCTCACACCAGTAAGGCGTAGCTTTTAACATGACACAGCTTTTTACTGTGCTCAAAATCACAAGGGCCAAAAGGGTGCAGGGTCATCTGTCATATCACTCTATTTTGGCTTTAGGTCTGTCAGAATACAGCAAGCTGTCTTCTGCTTTAAGACAAGGCAATTCTAAAATAGTAAAATTCAAGTGTGAAAATGCCAAAAAAACCTTCTGAGTAATGTACCTGTCAGGACACAGACACTCTTCTTAACTTGGTTGTCAGTTTGGGGTTTCCTTTTCCAAATTCATCCCTGCTTGTCTTGCACGCCTCTGAATGTTTTTTTCAAAAGGTCACTTTTTAACCAGCTTAGAAAGTCAGAGATGCTCCTTCCTTCCTCCCAGTTAGAACAGAGGCTTTGTATTGTTGACTGGGAAAAATAGTTCTAACAAACAAAGAAAACTGCAAAAATACTAAGTAGTAATGAGTTTATGTCTGTCAGGAATACTACGTTTCTTGTCATCTAATCCTCATGTTCACCAACTGAGACAAAATGTGGTAAATCCTGTAGCTGTTACTTGGTTATTTAATGTATTCCTCTCCTCGCCTGTGGGGGGAGAGACAGAGACTTCCCACTGGCTGTAAAGGACGTTTGGCAAAACAAGGGCTTACTGTGCAACCCAATACACATTTTGTTGCATACAGCCTGGTGAGAGTTGTCAGAAAGATGTGAGAAGTGTTGTGTTTGTTTTGCATGGTGTGGTTTTGGTTTGGGTTTGTTTTGTTTTGTTTTTTCATTTGTTTGGGGTTTTTTGTTTAAATTCCTGAAAATGTTACTGCTAAGATGGCATTCTAAAAGGAAGACAGCAGGAGAATGAAAACCTTTCATACGTTCTTTGTTTGGAAGGTCAGACTCACCTGGGCCAGCTGCAGACAGTATCTTCCCAGTGACAACAATTGTAAAAGGCTTTATTTGTCACGGGACTGTACTTAGCAAATCTCTGTTTGTTTTGCCTTGGTCAGCAAAGGCTACCTGTACTTACAGACCCACAGAGGGATGAAATACTGGTGTTATTGCATAGCTCACTCCAGCAATCACACTAAACTCAGGCCAGAAGCACACCTCCCACCAGAACACAACTTACTGAGGGAGCATTTGGAACAAGGTCGCTTTCTGTCCTTCCCGTTTGCATCGCTGTGTGAACTCTGACAGACTCATAAATGGAAGGTTCTTCCACTTTCCGTGGGTAGGGATGCTTCAGTACAATTAAGGTTCCTGGAAAAAGACTGGGAGTAAGTCATCTGGCAAGATGGTCTTAGAAAATAATGGGCATTAGCTGCTTGTTTGTGGAATGGTTAATTTTACCCTTTCCTAAAATTAAAACGGAGTAAGAACTAATAACCTCCCCAAGATCTCTGCCACACTTCCTGGAAGGGGGCAGGACTCATGTGAGAAAATAATCAGATGCCATAAATGACTCTCCCACACTCTTAAAATATTTCTAACGTGCATCATCTGAGTAATTTAGACTCCGTGAAGGGTATTTTCTACAAAAATTCACTCATGCAGACCACAGAGGGGCACTTGCCCGGTGTCAGTTCCTTGGCTCTGTCCTATTGCTCAGAGTCCTCAATACCTTGGGCACCTGGACTTTGCCTAAATCTATTCCCTCATCCCTCTACAGTGGAAATCAGTTTGTTCTTACATCTCTGAAAACAAAAGTGAAAACCCTCTTTGCTGCTTCTAAACAGTGGATAATTAAACCCCTTCTGCATTGCATGGTAAGTGGCAAAAAATCAAGACAGCAACAGAACAGGACTACCAAACAGCCCTCAAAGGCAGGTGTCTCCTGTCTCGCTTGAACTTTCTTTCCAGTCAAGGAGTAACTAGGTAATACAGAACAAACTGAAACACAGATTTCATAGTTACAGCTGAAATGCTGACCTACAGATGACCTACACTTTCACTGCATTCATGAACATGCAACTACAGACATTATCATGCCTGTTTACATGCAACCGTGAAAACTGTAAATGTACAGTACCTTTTTAAAACCTTTAGACTTACTAGTGCTTGCAGGGAATCACTTGACACGTTAAATTTCCCTCCTGCACAGGAGGCTGGCTGGGCGGGAAGGCAGGATGCTAGACCAGATATGAGGCTGTAACAGACATCCTGGTTTTGCCAACAACCCGCTGCTTGCCACGTAAACCGCTTAATCTGTCAGAGCTTCGGACACAGACTTCCTAACAGTAAACCCACATTACCATCACCTTTAACTGTTTTACCATAGCTCCTTCCAGTTAGTAACATTTTGATTATAGCCATTCATTGCTCTCCAAATAAGGTCATGTTTATTGCACGCTCTCTCCATATAGCTGCATTCGCAGTAGTGAATCTATTACACTATTCACAATAGTGAAGATCCTCCTTAAAATAGTAACTGCTACACCATCTAATCTTGTTCTTTAAAAATAATGTCACAGCATACCGAATGCTTCTCCATTTGCATTTTATGCTGCTACTGTCAGCTGTTAAAGAGGAGGGATGCTAGAACTGCTAAGAACTTGGACTTGAAACCTCCAGGTGATTGAGTAATTTCAAAGTGAAATAAGGTTTAAAGTACGTTTTGTAATGGGAAGTGGAAAAATTGTATTTGAAGTAACCAACTGAAATCTGTTTGCAGGCACAGGGGGTGTATGCAAATGTGATTTATTCAACCCACAGTAGGTAAAAAGTCAAAATCAGTTTAATTCTCTCAGGTCTTGCAGAAAAATAATGCTTTATCGTTTAAAATGAAAAGGAGAGCATGCCCATTACCAGTCTACAGAAACTACTCTTAAGCTGTTGCATAGAATCAGGGTACCACCACCTGTACACACCACGGATAAAGAACATTCCTGCAGAACTGAGAGGACTAGTTTAACATTTTATACAAAATTTGTTTTCTACCAAGTTCTCCATGGTTTTTCTCCACAAAAGATACCTGTACAGTTACCGGATGACTCTACACAAAAGAACTAGTAAAAGCTCCACTGTAGCAAGATTCTTTCATGTTTGTGCGTGATACCTATTTCTAAGGAAGAATGAAATTCAGTCCCATTGTTGAAAACATTAGCTTCAAGTGACCTTGGCTTTTTTGTCTGAGTAATGACTTCAAGTTTTCATGTTTTCAAAATAATTTAAGTAAAAACTGATAAACAAAGCAAATGGGCAAGAATAACATCAACACCTTGAATAATGATAAAAATATATAAGTATGATGGTGTATTGCTTAAACCTTGTTACTGAATAAATTCAGCTTGCCTGTTCAATAAACCATCTCCCAGAAGGCAGTAGCCCCAATTTCCTTTTAATTATCTGTAGTTCAGAAGGAAGTGTACACATTACGCTGCAGAAACACAGATGTGAGTCCATGTAGCAATTTGGAGTGGCAAAGGAAGCTGCCGTAAGACAAGATTTGTTGGGCTTGAAGCACAAACCTGCAGCTGTCCCAATATAAAAGAACCACTGTTCTTCTTAAACCAGTGTGCAGGGGCGTGGGCCTCTGCATTTAAGTACTGATCAAAGAGAGTCTGGTGTGCCTCTTCGGACACACCACCAGCTCCACCGAGACGAAACTTCAATGGAAGATAGAGGAAACCATGACATATTCTATCTCATGGGTCTCTGGCTTATCAAATCCTGTTCTTAAACAAGATGAAAAATGCTATCATGCTATCTCGCTGTACTCTCTCATTCCTGACCTCACAGTGTTTCTACAGAAAATTGTTTGTAAGTATAAGAGGGAATAAGAAAAAACAGTCCAACTGCTTTCTACTAGTGCCTGAGCCAAAGGTCGCTTGCTCCTTTTCACTGAAGGGAAGTGTGGCCTAAGAAATCAGTCTCTATTGCTGGCCCTTCTGCCAACCTGCTGTGGGACCCTGTGTTGGGCCACGCTGACTCTTGGCTTAAAGTGGGCTCTGATGAGTCCCTACCCCCTTTCTGGTGTAAATCAGTTACCACTCAGGAGACCTCTGACACCTGTATATGAAGGAATGTTGCCTGAGTGCTAACTGTCTCTTCCTGCCTAATGCTATCCACGGTAAGGTAAGAAGGTTTCTTGATGTGATGTTCAAATGGCTTTTCTTATTCTGTAGCACATCCAACTTGAAGAGGTTTCACAGAGCCAGCAGAATCTGATTAGGGAGCTTTAAGGCAACAAGTGAGCCCATCATTCAGCAGTGCTGATCCTGTCCACAGAGACCACATAACACCAGTGCCTTGATTACTACAGTCTGTAACACATGCAGTGAAGGAATAGAGAAATACGAGTTTTATGTCAGCTGAAATCTTTACAGTGTTAGGTCTGCGGGTGCGTATTGGATTTCACAGGAAAAACGGCTTACTGGCACAAACGATACATGTAGGAACACTCTTTAAAGCATCTTAAAAAGAGAATGCTTTCAAGGATACGAGTGCCATATTGAATGTACCACTGCATTTTTCTTGGGAGAAAAAATGTTGCAAAACCCTTGAATTTAACACTCATGTTAAAAGAGCACTGGTGTAAATTTAGTGTGTGGCACATTGCAGTTATTGTGAAATATTAACTGGTCACTTGCATACATAATTAGTACTCTTGGAGTTAATTGCATACACTTTCTACACAGGATACTGAAGTTTTTGGCACTAACTTGTACTGATGCATGTTCAACTCTTAAATTTGAAGCTAAACCTAAAACTGGCGTTATTGTGATAATCTGCATCCACTTCTCCAGGGATTCTGGACCGGTGGTGTTCAACTCACTTGTAGGAACCCAGTTTAATCTTTTGACTTTTAATTCAGGTAGCACGTTGGTTGCTAAAAGCCTGTGCTTTTCCCTTTCTTACAAACAAGACAAATCACTGATGGCAGATGGCATCAGCAGGCTGATCCGCTGCAGACAGAAAGGGGAAAGGTCATACAGGGCACATTCCCTACAGGAAAGAGGAACAGATCACTTCTTCCTTAGATGAAGAACAGTGGAGCTCAACAATTTCAAGTCTCTTCCATTTATTCTTACGGGGGGATTTCAACTTCACAGATAAACATGTTTCCTCACTGAACATCCTGCTTTGGTTTTGCCCTTTTTGAGAAGGTTCTGCTCCTCCCAGGACATGTATTATGAAATGCTTCCTTCTCTGAGAAATCAAAAGAAGCTTATGCTCCTGCTTAGCAAAAGTCCAGTAAGCTTACATGTAGTTTGTCTTCAGAATACTTGAAGGAGTTTTTGAAGAGGAACATCTTAGGCACCTGAGGTTAATACAAATGTGAACTTCTGAAGAGGAACATTTCAGCAGTAAATCTACCTGATAACACATCAGAAGCTCCTTTTACTCAGATCTGCATGAAGCATGACTACAGATGTGTTCAAACCAACCCATGGCTCTCCTTACCTGTTTCGCTTCCAATTAAAGGCTGATTTGCAAAATGCATGACTAATTCCTTCAAACTAGAAAATTCATTAAATCCAAATTTGAATGAAGTTCCTGTATGTTCAATGTGGAAGTGTTTCACAGAATCTTTTCCCCTAAAATAAGAAAGGAAAATTTGTCAAGGCATAAAAGCCAAAGGCATTTGGCAGGTACAACCCTTAAATAGCGGCTTCCACTACAGAAAATCTGGGCCAGGTCACAGGCTGAAAAATCATCGTCCTAGCAGTAATATTACTGCCATTACTGTCCCTCACTAATACTCAACTGAGTACTCGGATTTACTAGGAAAAAAATCTAATTGCTGCTTTACAGATATGAGATGATGAAAGCCTACAAAGGCCAAGTTAAATTAACTCTTGTGGCAATCTGTAGAAAGACTTCTAAAGGAGGTTTCCAGCCTTCTGTCTAAGCAGGATGATATCCCTTCACTTACCAGGCTTTAGTCTTGATAGTGTACGTGTATTACTCGGTGTAGGTCTTACTTTTCAGGTAACATCCCAATCTCATTGAAAATGTCTTGTTTCTCTCTCAAAACTCGGCTGCCTCCTTTTTGCATCCAAGCAGGGATTTAATAACCTAACTTTAGATATCTAAGGCTTTAGAATTTGTCTGCTTTGTCTCTGTACTCAGATGAATGGTTTCTCTATGGTAGGCACTGTCAAATACGAGTCAGGGTCCCTTGCTGGGGAAGTAACAGCACTTGTTTATGAAAGCTGATGGTATCTAGAGAAGTGTGCAAGGCCCCACTTCCTGCATAGGCAAATATTTTGATCTCAGAAGTCAGTGAAGCACTTAGTGCAAGTATCTCTCCTGTGAAAAAATTACTTTTGTTAATGTTACTAGCATCCAAAATAGTCTGGAGAAAACTGTCTCAGGAAAAACGCATGTAGCAAATATACTGAAAATAGACGACGAAAGGGATTTACAGTATCTTTTCCATTGTTTATTGCCACTTCTGCATTATAATTTCAAACAAGTACTTAAACAAATATTTATCTTTGAACAGTACTCGTGATATAATAGAACATGCCTCTATTGGCCTCCTGCATGTTTTGCACTACAGTCAGCTGAGACACAATGCATGCAAGCCAAGTGCAGATGCCCTACCACAGCAAATAGCTACTGTGACTCTGCTGCAATGAGAGGGTTTTCATCTTCTCATTTAATTTCACAAGAAATACAATATTGCAATGAGAGCAACTTCTACTCTATTTCCTAGTTCCTTTTTAAAGTTGGCTAATGTAGCTGGGGGAGGGGATTTCAGGCAATAAGTGATTTCTCAGAGCTGTCAATAAAAACCTCAAGGGATGTCTAAGCATTGTTGCCTTTTAAAACAAACTAGAATAATGAAGTTCCTTGTGAGGCAGAGACAGAAAGTAAAGTAAAAGGTAAGGAGACATTTTAGGGGAGAAAGAAAATGACAGCTAGAATTGTTAAAATTATCCTTTCTACAAAAAATGTATCAGAACAAAATGAAATTACTTATTCAAAAATCAAGTTTTAATATTAGTCAAGAAATGGAAAGGAAAACTTAGAGTTACACAAACAGTAGAAAAACAATAAAACATTTTAAAATAAAAATCAGTATTTCAAGGAAGCTGTACCACCAAGAAGCTAATGGAACAGAAAAAAAGATTAAACTCCAGTCTGGGATATTCAGTTTGTATGGTAATGCAGCAACTCTTGTTCCTACATGGAGAGCTGAACAAGAGACTGGAATTGGTCTGAAGTAGACTTTTCCAGCTCTGCCAAGGCTAGAATTGGTTAAAGCACCAATTTTATTTTCATTAACACTTTAGCTTTGTTTCCTATTAAAAGAACGGCTATTTAAATTTTATTATATTACAATAAGCTGTTTTCTGAGTGCCTTTTAAAACTAGCTTCAAAATATACATTAAAAAAAGTCTGAGGTAGATTACCTCAAATAATGTTTAGTTACATTCTAAAGTCAAAAAATATTAGCCAGCAAGACAATGATTCATTTAAAATTACTTTTTTTAAGGAAAGCTATTACTTATTAATGCTACTATTCTTTTTCCCAAGACTTGTACTCAATTCAGCTACTCTGAATACTCAATTTGTAACCTCACCTTCAGATCTGTCAGGCACCCTGCCAAGCTCCTTGTATAAATGGCTGTCTGTAGTGGTAATAATTTCAGCAGTGTATGTACAGGCACGCTTGCTCCTGGGTCTTCTGTCCAAGATGAGTGAAGCAATTCATATTTGCCTTTTATACCTCTGGGGAACAGGGTATGTGCAAATTGCACTTTCCTCAGTTTCCAAGCAATTACACTTCCAAATTATAACAGCTCCTGGTACTGAATATGCAGAAAGTCACAATTTCAAGGGCACTTGCTGTATTCCTATCTATTAGGATTGTGAATAAGTAGCATGGTTAGACAGATCAAAGTGACTTTAGCTTAAAGCGTTACTGCAGTTCAGCTGAGCTGTGCTCACTAATTGGTCAGAGGCTCAGTTTGAGGCAGAGATGAGCTGGAATGCACCACCTTAAAATTTTACTGTAGAGGCTTAATATATGATACAGTTGCCAAAGGCTAAGAAGGTGTTTAGGGTTGGTTACCTCCACTCAGCTGACATGCAGGGATGACCTTGTGTGTCTACTGTGTACATCTTTCACGCTGCCTCTCTAAAATACTGTGGCTCCTCTGCTTCTTGGGAGATTCTTTAAACATGATTCAGTAGTGAAGTACCCAGGCCAGGCTATCTGTGCTCTGTATTGGCTGTGTCCTGAACTGATGCAAATTGCTGTAATTCTGAAGAATTCAAGGGCCTGACATCTGTCACTTGCAAAATATTGTTCAAATCAGTCATGCGTTACTGGCTAAGACTGAATCTTAGCCCAAAACAGAGGAGTAAAACTATCCAGTCAAACACTGGATCATCCCTCAGAGATGACTATTCCTACACAGTGATCCAGAAACTGGTGAAATTAGTGCCTATTAACTGGTGTATTTACTACTGTCCTCATCATAAAACTTTTCTACTCCCATCTGCTGTTTCTTAAACTTTTCTAACTGCCATACAGAACTGCATTATGCTGACTGAAAGTCTACAGCCAATCCATGGAATGATGTTTTTTGCAAGTATGGTTGATTCATAGTTTGGAAAAATTAGACCAATTTACAAATACAATCCAAATATTTTTTTTCTTCTAGAAAAATATCATTCAGCAGGATTAAACTATTAGGAATCTATATTAAAATAGTTCAAGCCATAGGAAAAAATCTGCAGGTCATCCCAATGCATGAGAGATGCAAACAAACATGGGAATAAGTTAAGATTTTAAAACTGCTAGCTGTGAGGCATTAGATAAATTCAATTCTGTCCATACTCTACCTTACAGAGAGGGAGAACAAATCTTCCCTTTCATTGCTCTTCCTCAAGAGATAGCTTCCATCCTGACCGTTGGAAAGCAGCAGCGCTTCTGCTGCATGTCGGGTAAGGTTATCATGATACCACCTGAGAAGACACAAGGGGTTAAAGCATCATTCCCTCAGCTCTTAACGGACAGCTGCTGAAGAGTTAGAGGAAGGACTGCAACTAACACTGCTACAATTCCGAGTTACCATCCTTGACACAGAACTGTGCCCCTTTCAGCAGCCTCCTTTTGACAAGCACTATTTATTTTTTGTTAACTACAAAGTTGTGTACGAACAGGTGACAGTTTGCTGAATCTAAAAAAACCCTGCAAATTCTACTTGCATGAGCACCAAATTACCTGGGTCTATGCTGATAAGGTGAAAGCAATTTTGGGGGATATGCACGATCCTTTGTCTATTTTCAGAATCTGTACTTCCTGACGTATCTACAAGCTTTGGTACACTTCCTCTTTTGGGGCAAACATGCAACACTTCAACTCCTTCCAAACTCTGCATTTCCCACATCTCAGTTCATCTGTACTGCTAACATCTGCAATTAAACACATTTGCTAAGCTTAAAGTTTTCATTTGAAGAATAACCTTTTGGGAAGAAGGAAGAGAGGAAAGGCCTAAACTTAAGTTACAGAATTTGAAGTGAAAATTAGGAAATCTTGCCACTGTTGCCACTTGGCCATATGTGGTCTGAGCAATGCAGGAAAACATCTAAACACCTGCTGCATTTAACTTCAATTAAAACTAACCTAATTTTTTTTTTTTATATGAAAAATTCCACAGAAAAAAATCCTGTGAAGAAAATAATTAAATGTCGATGGCTTCGTTTTCATCCGGAATATTTCACAATGTACCACAGTTCAAAATGAAAGAGCTAAGACAACTCAGCTTTTTGAAGGGCTTGCTAGGGGCTTCAAACAGCAGATATGTGTTTCTAAAGCCTTTTGATTTCCTTAATTTCTTGCTTTAAGGCAGCAAGAAGGTAAAGTATTATATTCTCTGTCAACCTGTGAACCTGATTTCTTTTAAGAGAAAAGGATCTCCTTAGAAATGATCCTGAGACCAAACACAAAGAAGAGCCACAGGTATAAAAGGCTGGAGTGCCAATCCTGTAAGAGATGAGGTGTGCAAATATCAATGATAACTATATACCCATGCCAGAACCACTGGTGCAGAAGGAGGTGGGGATACTGTAGCCAGGTCACAGCTCTGCAGGGAGCCAGCTTTTCCCCTTGTCTGTATGCGGAGTGGTGCCGAGTCTCCTTCCCCTTCCTTTAAACTGTGTGTGCCTGCAGTATTGGGGACAAAGTCTATTGCTGTTTCAGCCAAAGAAACAGTTTGACTGAAAGCAGAAGTGTGATCACAGCACTTTCCAGCATTTGTATTGTGGCAGCCTTCGAACTGAAACAAGGTGTAATTGTATACTCTTTCTCCTTATCTGTTCATCACAACTTGTCACTGAACTTGGCATCTCGCACAAAGTTTTAACTCTGAATTTAGATGGCTGCCTATTTGAAAGGCCAGCTGGCTGATAAATTGCTTTATAAGAGACTCCAGACTGTTAACCCTGTGGAAGACAAGATCCATGTGAAACTCAATACAGGCAGGGTATTGCTGCTTTGGCTCTAGAACGTGCTCTGTGGACCATCTACACAGTAAAATAAAATAATGAATATTTAAAGATCAAAGCATCATTCTCTGAAACACCTGTTAGCCAAAATCCGCTTTGGGATTAACTGCCCAAGTAAGTAACAGTCAAAGGTCAGATCTGTCCTGATGTGATGAGGATCATATCAGTATGCACGCTTGGCCGGGCCTACAGCTGGAAAGATAACACTGGGTTTTGAGGGGGAATTTCCTAGCGCTATTTCTCACTTCTGTGCAAAAGGAGCACACACTGAGAAAATCTCCAAGTGGTCACTCTCATAAAGGAGGCATATTCAGTTTGTGGTTGCTCGTAAGTGCGCTGTTAACTTATTTCCAAAAAGCTTTTTACTAAGATTTTAAAGTAGAAGTCACTTAAGTTCAATAAATGTTGTCTTTAAATCTACTCTCTCTTTACCTATACAAGGCCAGTGACTAATTAAATTTTATCACTATGCAAGAAAAAAATAAAAATAAACCAACCACAAGCCAACAACAAAACCCCACCCACTTAATTGGGAAAATAATGCTGTTTTAAAGTACAGTTTTAAATCTTTGCTGCCAAAGTTGCACCACTCTTCTTGCCTAAATATGCTATCTCAGACAAAAATCCCCCAAATGTTACCATGTTCCTCCCGCTCAGCTTAAAAAGTAGAAGTGGATATGAGACAATAATACAGATCTTGGTGCTAAAATAACTGTGTTATATATAGCTATTTTTTTTTCCTCCTCCTGTCACAGATGCTTCAGTCAGTAACAACTGCCAGGTTACTTGGATATTCCACTGTGAAAATGGTTACTCAAAATTTGTTCTAACTGCATGAACACGGGTAAAATTTAAAAATGCTGTGAAAAATTTAGCATTTGCAAACAGACCACCAGGAAGGTAAATAAATACACGCAAATAGTCTGCTCTCTCATCAAGACCGCCTGATGACACGAATACAAGTAAGCAGGTCTAAAAAACCCAAACAGCCCTGAAGTTAGATACTACTAGACACACTTCAGTTGATTTTGAGTACTTGTCAGAGGGAGAACCATCTATTTATCATATTTAGAAAAAATATTTTAGGCAGTTCTTTGAAATTTGCAGGTAAATCAAGGTGGGAGACATGGCTCCTCCAGCAAGCCACTGTAAAGGACAGTCAACTTTAGCTTAAGTTTTGGTTGTCTTCTGAGTGATAAGTGGGGGAGGAAACTGTTGACAGAGAATATAATACTTTATCTACCTTCTTGCTGCCTTAAAACAAGAAATTAAGGAAATCAAAAGGCTTTACAAACACCCATCTGCTGTTTGAAGCCCCTAGCAAGCCCTTCAAAAAGCTGAATTGTCTTAGCTCTTTCATTTTGAACCATGGTGCATATGTTGCATATTGGGGTGTTTCTGAAGCTTCTTCCAAAAGTCATCTTTATTTGACCCAACTTATACAGTCTTTTATTCACTACAAAAAAGTCCAGAAATATGTCCTGTGCTTTGACACTTGTCAAACTGAAGATCGCCAGTAGTGTAGAAATTGCCTGGGGTTCCCAATTCAGATTTCTCTGAAGAAACACATGAAGACAGATATGTGGGAGGGAAGTCCTTCCTTCCTTTAGAGCCACTACTGCTGGGTGCCCTTGGCCTTGCATGCTCTCCTGTCTCAAATGCATACATACCTCTGGGAGGTTTTTCTTTTCTAATTATTTCCTTTCCCCTATAGAAAAATTCTACATGCTCTCCTTTTTTTGGGTTCCACACTGCCAATTTGACTAGCAATCTCAGTTTGAGTTGATAATTGCTGTGTCATTTATCCATTCTCGTTACTTTAACTTTGCCCTAAGTTACATTAAGTCTCTTTGTCCCATATGTGTAAGCATGTTTGTGTTGTCAGTGTGTGTTGTGGAAGGGCCATGCTAATCTTCACGCTTTTTGGAGCTGAAGAGCCTGCCGGGCCCGTGGAAGCATGTCTTAAGATGGGCACCCAGCCCTCCCCCACCGCAGAAGGTGCAATACTGCTCGCGCTTCTCGCTGGGTGACCGTCCCTGTGGAAAGCACCTCGGCTCCCTGAGCTGCAGGAGCCCAGTAGAAACGCAGCAAATCTAATTCACCTCTTGTCCACCCTTGAGAGGGAACAGAGATCCATATTAGGGAGAGATGGTCCAGATGTGCTCTCGGTAGGACTTCAATATTATTCAGAGGAGTTACCCTGAAGGATTTTTTTTTTGTGATGGTAGATGTTTGCAGGTTTTTCACCATGTTTCACATTAAAAAAAATCTTCTACCACATGAAGCTGAATTTTCTTGCACTTTGAAACTATGTACTAGCCTCAAAAACATATTCCCATTCTTAGTTTAAAGGAGCAGTACATTGTACCGCTTGATGGAGTGAGTGGGAAAGCACTGACTTATCTTCTTTGGCTGGATGCAATGCTCTTCACGTGCCTGCACTCCAAAAATGACTACAAAATAGCCTCGCTAGTTCTCTATTCTCTGCATGCTGGATTTCAGATCGGATTTGTCACGGTTTGGATTTTTTATTTTAGTTTTTTCCTAATATCAAACCCTAGAAGCATTACCTATCATCTGAAGGCTGCGAAGGGCCCTCTGTACCTCACACCAGAAAAAATGAAGTTTTGGCAATATTTCTAATGGCACACGAGTTGACAAAGCTGTAGAGAACCTACAAAAGGGTGAGAATGCTAAGACAGAAGTTATAAGTGGCATACAACCAAAATTGGTATTTATTAGACATCCTTTCAATGTGTCACACTGAAACACTGAATCACACACCTATGTACTTTGTTGGAATACAGGGGTGTCATTTCATAAGAAAAATAATTTACAAATAAAAATATGAGGAAGTAACATCAGTGCATCCAGCCCTAAAGTTAGAGTCTTCTAACTGTAGGCTTTCACTAGTTCAGCTTCTGATTTTCACTTCCATTTTCTCACCCCCTTCTCTCAACTGCCTCTTCTGATTTTCACCCATTTCTTTTGCCTACTTTTTAGATGTTGTACATTTGCCCTTCTTTACATCAGAAATACAGATGAAGAAAAAAAATCCTTACAACCATTTGCCCTGTCCCAGTCATATGAGTTGCTCAATTCTCCAGTTTTATCAACAACTGGTCTAATTTCTCTTCTTTTCTACACCTCTGGTCTAATTTCTCCTCTTTTACTAAACCTAAGCATGAAGCGTATTGTTCAGTCTTACCAAACACCATCTGTCTCAGCATTGTCAAACCTGGAGCTGGGGGAACATAAAACCTGTGCTGCAAGTGATGACAAGGAACACTCGGACTGCAAAAGGAAAAAGGTTAAAAAAAACTTGTTTCCTCTTGCCCTGTTTCTTTCACTTCCAAAAGACAAACAGTGTCACTAAAGCTGTGCTGTTTGGATAGAAGCTGTGTTACCAGACCAGCCTGTAATTACTCAGATGACGAGCTATTCCACATTCTCATCTCTTGCGCAAATAATGTGAACTGCAATGTGGAATTCCCCAAACTCACACTATACGTGATCAGCTACAGGAGTTTCACACTGCAGTGCACAGGCTGTCGTTTCGGCAGTAACAGCATTAAATGCGACTGGAAAAAGGGCTGGCTCCAGGATAGCCAGAGACCTTCAAAGAAGAATCACAATGTCAGTTTCCTTCTCCTTTAAGCCAGGATGCTTATGTCTCTTTTGACAAACCTCACTGCTTCCTTTTAAATATTTTGGTAGATTTAGGGAAGAAGTTAATGAATGAGATAACACGCTTTTAACAACATGCTCTGATTTTGACCTTCCTTTTCATTAGGCATTAGTTCTGCCTATAAACACCCTGACAATGAAGATGACAGTAATATGAATTTGCACTTTGAACTCTTGATTGTTTGACCACCCAAACTTTTCATATAAATATAGGCCACCATCTTCCCTCAAACTGAATGAAATAGTTTCAGAAAAAAAAAAAAAAGCCAAACCCATCGCTCTTTCTTGCTTTTGTTGTGAAGTAAAAGGTCAGAAAGTCCATCTTTACAGATACTGAGGCTCTGGGGAAAAAAAAAATCCAATCTGATAACAGCTGTAGATATATCTAGATCTTTCAGTGACTGTGACTGTCCCTCATGATAACTGGGATTGTTAAATCTTATTTCTTCTTTTTTTTTTTTTTTTCCCCTCTGGTGACAGATGACATATCTCTAGAGCAGGGGTAATATAAAGATGGGGTTTGTATACGTTGATTTTTTTTTCTCCCTTCCTCATGTCTTGTTCTCACCAGCTCCAGTATTTTCAATGTAATTACAGGAGCATTAATCTAGAACATTCCAGCAAATACCAGGTCCTCCACACCTAGCAGAGAGTTAGATAGGTTTTATGCTGTTTACCCGTCTACACTGCTGTCAGCCTTCCATTCTGATGACCAGCTGACCTAGTAAACTATGAGGACATCCTGGTACCCAACCTTCTTTCTCTTAAAAGTAAAGAAAGAATGCTTCCCATTTCACACTTCTTCAAAACTTATCCAACTTCTTTTGAGTTTTGCACAGTGAAGCAGAAGGTCTAAAATAACCTGCTTCAAATTCCACCCCAAAGGTACACAAATGTCAAAGTTCCTCCTCATTTGAATGACCTTGTCTCCGTTGGTCTTTACTATGGCAGTGATACTGGGTCTCGGTTGTGTTAGATACTATGTCAGGTGTAAGGGGAATTCAGTACTGTGATATCACCAGGGGTTAAGCTTAGGATAAAAAAATAAACCTTTGTGCTGGCTGATACTTTAATGTTATAGTAAAAAAAGTGGCTTTAGTACTAGATGAAAAAAAGAGCTTTGTTTAATGGTTTGAAGGGAATTTTTGCCTGGCATTGCTTATTCACCTTTAGTGCATTTAACACACTGCTCTGATGGAGATGTTTAGTATTTTGTGGTAGGGTGAAAGGTTCAGGTTTACCATTGAAGTGGAAATAAAGAAGTTACGACTTTAAAAATGCGTAACTGTAGCCTCGTCATCTGTAGTCTTCCCTTTTCACCTGTACCACATCAGGCTGCAGTTCTACAAGACCATCCGTAAGGATAAACTCCTTGCCAACCAGTGAGGCTGTTTGCAAGCACAGGTTATTGGCATAAATCGACTCAGGCTGTATAGTCAGAATGAATAAAACTCTGTTAATTGGGAATCACGCTTCCCACAGCAGCTGCAACTCTTTTTGTTGTTTTTCCTTCTTCCTGTATAAACTTTTTTAAGATGATCATAATCCTACAGATGTAAAGGCAAAGTATATAATGACTGGTCCGGGTTCCACTGCAAGTGACCTGACTTCATTTTGTATTTGTTAGATGCTTCAGTAACAGGCATTTCATTAACAGGTTCTTCTAAATAAGGGAAAATATCAGCAGTGTGAAGATAGTAATTCTAAGTATCTTCACTGCACTCCAACTACTTCACTAAGTGAATTCATCACAAAAATAAATGATGAGTTGGTCCTTATCCATAAGTACTCAGGATGCAAAAAGCCTTTACTGTTTTCATCTATACTTTCTGAATGCAGAGGTGACACCAGAGCCTTCTTGCTTTGTCGGTATCTTCATTGGCTTCTCTTTCACTTTGCTGCCAACAATCCTTCCCTCCCTGGCCTCTCTGTGCCCACCTGTGCCGCTCCTCCAGCCCACCTTTCTTCTCACCCTCAGCAACACGGCTGGTGAAAGAGTAACCCAATCCTTCCTCCCGTAAAAAAGCAAAAGTGACTAGAGGACAAAACGGGCACGTCAAATTGGACAAGGGTGCACGGTCTGTTGCAACCTTCAGCCTTCCTTTTTGCTCCTCGGGTTTTGCCTTGGAGTGAGAGTGACGTCCCTGTAACGGCTGCGAACCGCCGGCCGCTCTCGCTGCCCAGGCACCCTGAGGAAGCCGGCCGCCTCCCAGGGCCCGGCAAGGAGCGGCCAGCATGGCGGTGGGGATGGCTGCCCTCTGGGCCAGGGCCCAGGCCAATTTCCAAGGAGACAGATGGCTGAAGGAAGCAGCCGGGAAGGACAAGCAGCTCTGAGGACAAGCTCTGGGTTTGGTGCTCCCCTGAGACACAGGTAAGAGATGCAACACGACCAGGGCTCTTCCCGACGGAGTAAAGGTTTCAACACTGCAGAGCTCCTCTTGCGTAAAACTGAAGCCCCACTGTATGTGAAACACCTGCCTGCGCCCTAGTTTTTCTAACTATTATTTACTTCTCCCACCCACCTGAGCCATACAAGCATCCTCTGTAGACGGGTGCCTGCTGGCTTCTCAAACTCGCCACAGGGATGAGGCGCTGGGCTTCTCTGAGGGGCTGCGCACCACGTACAGAGCCCTTCGGCGGGCTTGTTAAGACAAACCCCCGTTCATCTTATTCCCTGCTTCATTACCAAATTCAGCAGCAAGAACCAGCTGCTCCCACCCTGTCAGCTCCCGTCGGGCAGCCCGGCAACACCCGAAGGCCGCCATTTCGCGCGGGGAACCCCCGCCCCGCGCCCCTCAACCGCCCGCGGCGTCGGGCGGGGGCCGCCATTTCGCGCGGGGACCCCCGCGGCGCCGCCCCGGCCGCCGTTTACCCGAGCGCCTCCAGCTCCTCGTCCAGCGGCGCGGCGGGACGCGGCTCCCGGCGCTGGGTCATCGTCCAGCGGCGCGGCTCCCGGCCGCCGCCTCCGCGGGCCGCTGAGGAAGTGCGCGGACGGGGCGGCACCTCCCCCGGCGGGCGCGGTGCCGTCCCGCCTCGCCGCCGTGGAGTGCCTCGTCGCGGAGAGGCCCGCCCCAGCCCACGCGGCGTGGCGGCGACCCTTCCCCGGGCCGTTTCGGGGCCCCTCCGGCCCCGTCCGCGGCGCCTGGCTGCTCGGCAAGGGCGGTCAGAGCCCCCCCTCGGGTAGCCACCCGTGCCCAGTGTGCCTCTTCCATACGGGAAATACTTCGTTTGATTTCTATAATAATTCGTATTTCCAGTTACTTTAATCCGTACGTCCCAGAAATTCATATTCAGAGGTGTGCCATGTGCGTGCTTTTCTCTTGCAATGGATGCCCGTCACCTCTAGCAAAGTACTCAGGAAAAATGTGGAGGTTTCTGGATTAGGGTGTAATCTGTATTCATTCTGTAAGTGTCAGATGTTAAACGCTGTACCCACTCCAGCCCGATTTCTGTGGTGATGATCATCCCTCTCCTTGCAGACTTCAAAGAGATCATACTGCCTCTCAGAAACAGTAATTGGGACGTAATGTAAAAGATAGCTGAAAAGATACTACCAAACAGGGAATTAAATTGTGTCAGAGGAGTGAGCTCTGTGGATGAGAAATTTCTGCGCATTATCCAGTGCCTGTCCTTCCAAATGCTTAAATTATTTGCAGCATACTAGAGGTTATTTGTATTCGAAATACTTCATGGGTAGTAATTCTTACAGATCTAGAAAATTCTTTACTAAACTTTTTTGACAAAAAGACAGGGCTCTGATGTAAAAAAAAAAAAAAAAAAAAAAAAAAAAAAGAAAGAAATGTCAGAATGCTATTTTCCAGTCACACACTCTAAAATTTTCACCAGGTATCCAGTACTGAAAATCAGTTGTTTCCAGAAAAACTGGTGTTCAAAGAGGCTGGAACAGCTACTTATCTTCTCACAAGCAGTCATACGAACAGCACACTCAGTTTGGAGCAGAGAGTCATTTGGAACAAGCTCATTAAAAGCCTGCTACAAGCCTGCTACTCCTGCTGGTCTCAGGGACCCAGTATTGGAAGAGCTTTCCTAGCCTCCTGAATGGAAAAAGCTTCAGAGAATTTCCGTATGTCAGATCAGACTGTCCTGCTGTTTTGAGCTTCTAATTGTGCTTTTACTGGCTGCAAGGTGCTCTGCTCCTGTACTTGACTGTTCAATTTGTCAGCCAAACATTCAGTTGTAGATACAGGTTTTGCAAATAAGCTGGTTGGTATTTTTGTCCCTTATTAGGATTTTTTTTATTATTTATTATAGAAAAAGAGTTTTTCTGAGTTTGCCCCTTTCTCTGTCACTTACTGAAAGCTTGTGATCTGATACTGTCTTTGGTAACTTGATCCTAAAATCTACAACCTTTGGTTAAATAGTTGCTTTTGACATCTCCACAGTTTGCTTGTATTTGCTGGATAGATTTATTTATTTTTGTTCTCCAGTTCTGAAAGCTGCTTTGTTTGTTTTCATCAGTGCTGAACCCATTCCAGGTTATCTTGTTTGTGTTACTGAATGAGGCAGAAAAGCAGTTATCAAAATTCCTGGGTTACAGAGGAAAAAAGCAGAGAAAGAAAAATAAATTTCAAACAGTGAAGAGCCACAACTAAATTTTAGTGAACTCTATTTATATCACAAATGGTCTTAAATGTTCAGCACTGCAGGTTCTAAGGTGGTTTTCCAGCCCTTCTGTACCCTATTGTGTTTTGTGCACCAGTGCGTTGCGGTGGCAGAGGGTTCCCATCGGGGAGCAGATGCTTCCTCTTACTCTGCACCTGAGAGTGCAACGTTTCTTCTTGGTTTGCAGAAAAAAAAAAAGAAAAGCAGAAATTGGACTCTTGTGCAGCACCAATCAGCCTTCCCTTTAATGAAGTCCACTTGATTTTGGGTTTTTAACATACGTTAGCCACAGGACGGAAAGACTACAGTTTGCTAGCTTGCATTTCCCAAAAGCCAACATACTTTAGTGTCAGGGTTTTGGTCCCTCTCCCAAGCACGAGCATCCCCGTCACAGGACTTCGTTTCATGTCCAGCCTGAGCATTGCACAGAGCAGACCTGTAGATAGCAGCAGTGCTCTAGTGCTTGCTGCTCAGCCTGGGGCACTGCTGAGCACAAAGTACCCCCACAAGAAAGAGCAGAATAAGGTTCCTTTTTGAAAATCAGTGGATAGTTGGGTTTTCTTCTCATCTCATCACATCTGCTAGTTGTCACAAACCAAAGTGTGATTTAATTTAAAAGAAAAGTCTTGAAGTCTTTCTTGAATAACTGCCCCATCTCATGGAAAAAATAAAAAAAAAAAAAAACAAAACCAAACAAAAACCCCACCAAACCCTATTGCTTTAACTTGGGGTCATAAATAAACAGAAGGAAAACTATGGCTATCAATATTGGGGGTGGGGAAGGCCAATAGTGATTGATATATCTGTAATTATCCCTTGTCTTCTGTGTCACATTAGGTTATTACAGAACACTGTAATTACCAGCAGACTTTGAACTCCAGTGAATGCTTTACATTGCAGCCGCCTGGTCTCTCAGACTAGCAGGTGCTTTCTTTTAGGATAGTGCATTTGGAGATGATGTGCCTTTGGGCAGAAATAGCGGGATCCCTAGGCAAGGTTGTATTGCATATGTCCTGCAAGTGGTCAGATCCCAGGATCATGATGGTTCTTCCAGGTTTCCAAGTTCTTACAGAGCAATTGCTTAAAATTATTTAAAAGTTTTAATTTTTTCAGATAGGTGTAATTTTGTACTTGAGTTTCAAGATACATTAGTGTAATAAAGGAGAATTTGGTTTAAAGAGCCATGCTACTAATAAAGCTGGTAAAGAGATGTGATTGCTACAAAAGTGTAATTAAATAACTACAGTTACTTGACAGAACTTGGCAGGAAAGAATTGAAACTTTAATTTCTTTCCTTTTACCATTTTGCTTCACCTTCTAGTAAACTGGATAGATTATAGATAGCTGTGGACCACCCTGACAAACTCTAAAGGCAATGGTTTCATTCAACTGAAACTGAAAGGAACGGAAAGATCACACAGCCATCGTTAACACTGTTGGGGTGAGGGCCAGGTTGGGACAGAGCTGTAGCTTATTGTGGGTTTGGAGCTGCAGGATGGAGTTTGGAGCTACAGGTCAGGGTTTGTCACTGCACTGAGCAGCCATGGGTGTGAGGCAACCGCAGGCACGCTGTGATGGCGATCCCTCGGCAGCTCCTACAGCTCTGGGCGGTGGGAGAGGTCAATCTCCCCAAAGGGAAAATTGGTCACCTGCAGAGCGCAGGTTTCCAATGCAACACAGAGCTAGCAATTTATTCCTTTTAAGGTAATTGCATCTGAAAATTTTGCAGGGTCCAAGACCTATTAGACTTGGGTATGATCCCATGGAATACTGTGAAATCCACTAAAGAACTAGAGAAATCCTTCTACTGTGTTCACACACAGCATACACACTAATATAATCTTCTGCAATTAACCTCATTCTTCCCTTTGGAATGTGTCACAGGTTGTCTTGGAGTGTTTCTTGAAAACAATTTTTTTGTTGGAAAACACTTGACATACTGGGTATCAGCATAGCGATAAGTTTTTTTTGTGGATTTTGAGGCGCCCGAGGCATGCTTATTTATTGTGTTCCCAATTTCCATGGTCAGCGCATTTTCAAAACATGCCATCTTAACCCTACGTTGTCTTCAGTTTCTTCAGATAGGAAACACAGAACAGAGGTGAGAAAACAGATGTGAAATTACCCAGGTCCTTAGGGAGAAGGGGCTTGAAGACAAATTGGGCAAAATGAAGGGTTGTTCCTCCCCCATTTTCTCCTACAGTTTGGGCTGAGCAGTGCCTCTGTACCTGAAGGTCATGGTAGTTGTGTTGCTGTGAAGGCTGGTTCCCCAGACTTGGATTAGGGCCACATCTCCACCTAGGAGATGGCAAGAGATGCAACAGCCATGTCCTCCAAAGCCTTTGTTGAGTTTCCTGCCAAGTAGGATGGGCACAGCCATGTCGCATGTGAATATGAATGATTACATATGGGATCCCAGGTACATTTATTTAATAATTCAGCTATTTAAGTCGCTTAACTCTGCCCTTATTAAGAACCTAGCTGTTGTGGTTTGGGCCTGATCGGCAACCAACCCCCGCAGCCGGTCACCCTCCCTTCCCCCTCCCCACCTGGGAATGGGGGAGGGGATTAGAGGGGTGAAGGGAGACTCGCGGGCTGAGATAAGAACAGTTTAATAATGGCAATAAAATGAGAACAAGAACGATGATAGGGGGAAAACAAAAAGAAATATATAAACAGGCAATGTACAGTGTAATTGCTCACCACCCACTGACCAATCCCCAGCCCGTTCCCGGCCAGCGACCCCGAGATACCAAGATCCCACAATCGCAATCCCGGAAGCGAGAGAGAGAGAGAGAGAGAGAGAGCGAGCTCCTTCCCAGCCACCCCTCCTTTATATAGTGAGCATGACGTGCCATGATATGGAATATTTCACTGGCCAGTTTGGGTCAGGTGCTCTGGCCGTGCTCCCTCCCTGCTCCCTGTGCCCTGGCGCACGGGCAGGACATGGGGAGTCGGAGAGTCCTTGAAGTCTCGGCAGCAGCTGAGAACACCAGTGTGCTATCAGCATTCTTCCCATACCAAACCCAAAGCTAAATCCAAAACACAGCACTCATCTAGTCCCTGAAAAGGAATATTAACTCTATTTCAGCCCAAACCAAGACACTAGCATTCCCCATACTCTTAAAGATGTGACTTTTGGGACCAGATATAGTTAGCATTTCTAACCACATAACACTTTCTCCTCTTGTTTGTTCAGCTCTAAGAAATTCCCCTCTAGGGGTAAGTAAAGGAGGATTTTTTTTCTGATTTTTGAACTCAAACAGGGACACGGAAATCAGTACAGGAAGTTTCCCTCGATGCTTGTTAATTTTTTCTAGTCCTTGCTTTCTGTATACATAATCAATAGCTGGAGCACATATATTTTGAGATGATGGTGGGAGATTACGTGCTCCCAGTTTCAGTTCTGTATGGAAAACTGTCTAGGAACTTTCCCAATCCACTGTTTAATGCTCACGCATGCTTGAAG